GGAGGAAACCAGGAAGTGAGGCAATCCATCGCAACGGACCCCAGAGTTTAAAAACCAGGCGGGAAAACACACCGACACTTCATCAGAGGCTGCACTGAGGATGTTACCCAGCACGGTAACGAAACGTCTGCAGAACAACAAAACAGCTCGGCGAGCCAACCAACCTCAACACCCACAACCCGAGCTACAGATCTACTCCAAAACCTTAGAGAGTCTTTGAATATTTTTAAGGCAGGGATAGATAGATTTTTGATAATGAAAAGGGTAAAGAGATTTTTGGGATTAGGGCAATGGGAAGTAATCAGAGCAGCTATGATATTACTGTACGGTGCCACACACCTTAGGGGCTGAGTGGCTACTACTCCTAATTCATACATTTGTATGCATCTTCTATAATTGATCTGAAAGGGAGTTCATTCCTTGTCCAACTGGGAGGGGAATAGTTCAAGATTTTAAAAATTCTTTCCTGGGATGAGGGCACTGCTGGCTAGCTCAGTTTTTCTTACCCATCCCTAATTGCCCTTGAACTGAGTGGCTTGCTCGGCCATTTCAGAAGGCAGTTAAAAGTCAAGCATATTGCTGTGGGCCACGTACTGTAAAGTTGAATACATTTCCTTTATTTTTATACCTTTACATTCTATGTTTTGGTTTGTTTTCCTGTGTTTTAAGATGGTGCCAGAGCGTGGTGACACTGTGCAACACTTCTCACTGTGTTTTGTAACAACATACATGTGACAATAAATAAATAACTCAAATGAATCAAACACATAGTCCAGACCAGGTAAGGACGGCACATTTCCTTCCCTGAAGAACATTAGTGTGCCAGGTGGTTCTTGATGACAATTGCCAATGGTTTCATGGTAACTATTAGGTTGACTTTAATTAAATATTTTATTGGATTAAAGTTCTACCATGCGCCATAGAGGAATTCAAGTCCTAGGTCCCCACAACTTTAACCTGGGGTTTGGGGTTACTAGTCCAGTGACATTACTACCTGTGTCAACACCTCCCTATGATGCGGACAATCTTCAATTCAGGCAAACGAGAAAAAGGTGAACAGTTTCTTCTCCGTTATCCAACAGCACTGCCACTTACCAATCAGCTTTCTTCAAACAGTCGACCTTGGCCCCTTGGGCTAGCAGGTACCTCACACACATTCTGTGACCCATCGACGCTGCTTCATGCAAAGCTCGTTTGTAATCACTGTTGACCAGCTCAACGTTGACACCAAGCTCCTCCACCAGGTATTTCAGGATTGGCAGGTGCCCATACCTGGCAGCATAATGCAGCACAGTGTCACCTGATCTCCCAAAGTGACCCTTCAACACTGTATCCAGAACACCTTCACCCTTACCCAGTTCCTCTTTGAGATTGGAAAGACTGCCTTCTTGTACTATTCTAATGAGATGCTTGACTTTGCCTTCACAAGTCATCAGCTTTAATCCTCAAAAGAAATTGTTCTGACAAGAAAAAAAAGTTCAAGTCTCACTTGTAACAATCTGATGACAGACTCATCTGCTTTTGCTGCAAAACCTGATACAGATCTCCACGTCTTTGTTTCCTCACTTTCTCTCCTAAGACTTCCTCACAGAGGCAGGTCCTCAGTGCTTACATGCACCCTCTGAGGTCTCACCCTGATGACTATAATTTGTAAATATTAATCCTAATCACAAAGCACGAGCTCTGTTCACTGCTGCCTTCCTTCTTTAAGTCTATACACACACACACACAGATCTTTCAGCTCCACCCCCAGAGAATCATCGACCGACTAAAAACATTCCCTGAGAGTCCTAAGTCAGGTAAACGCTAAAATTGCACATCAGGAAAAAGACAGGGCAGGTTAACATTTTGGAGCTTTGTGCAATCATTGTCAGTACCGATTTGATTCACCCTGTATTTCAAACAATTAAAAATAAAAACTCTCATCAGTTAAAAATGTTTATATGGAATGAACCGTCATTTTTAAACCCTCAGATAATCAAACATTTTTGGGGAACCCTTTATGCAAGGGCCCTCTGAAATGTATCAATATTTACAGGGAATCCCTTGAAATGTATCAATATTTGCAGGGGATCCCCGAGAAAAGTGTCAGTATCTGAAGGGAAGAGTTGGCAATATTTCCAGGAAACTTGCTGTCGAAGATAATAGGAAGCACGGGATTCTCAAAAGTATCCGAGTATTTGCAGTATGTCAACCAGAGGAGCGTGGTGGGGCTTCCGAAATATAGAAAACGGTGCGAAAAAGATCACCAGAAAGAGAGATAGTAGGAGAAAGAGATGCTTCAACAAACCCACAGAAAGCTGCCAGTTGTCCTTAAATGAGATCAACGCTTGCTCATAAAGATTCCACTTACTGCCGATTGCGACGTGACAGCCAGTGGATTTCCTAAATAGTCGTCCAGAGACAGCAAGCAAATAAAATGTGAGGTTCCTGGGAGCTGTGACAGCATCTAGAGAGGAATAAACTCCGGAAGTACTCACTGAGCAGTTTGGAATTCCATCTAACGCCGGGGTGGAAATAAGCCTGGATTTGATATGTCCCCGAGATGAAAAACAAAGGGAGAAATTTGCATTCACTCCAGCTTGTATCATTTAACCACTGAGTGCCCTGGATATGGTGAGTGGCTAATAATTCAGGAGCAGGTTCCCCTAGATGGAGTTTCCTGTGCAGACCTCTGCATGATATCAAACTGTGTTCTACCTAAGGCTGGATTTCCCAAACTCTAGCCAGACTCTTGTTTCCCAAACGATGGTTGTAATGATCGGTTTACAAGAATGGCTCCTGGCAGAAGGAACTTGAGCTATGAGGATAGATTGAAGAAATTGGGAATGTCCTCCTTGGAGCGAAGAAGGCGAAGAGGAGATCTGATTTAAGTATTTAAAATGATGGATGGAATGCATAGGGTGAAGCAGTTCCCGACACATAACAGGAACAAGAGGCCAGCGTTTCACAAAAGAAGTAAGAATGAACTGAGGAAAAGCTTTTTCACACAGCAAGTATTTAGGGTCTGGAATGCACTGCCTGGAAGTGTGGTGGAGACAGATTCAATGACATAGAAACATAGAAGATAGGAGCAGGAGGAGGCCGTTTGGCCCTTTGAGCCTGCTCCGCCATTCGTAGAATTCATTGAATACCCACAGTGTGGAAACAGGCCATTCGGACCAATAAGCCCACACCTCCCCTCCGAAGAGCATCCCACCCAGACCCATTCCCCTACCCCTGCATTTCCCCATGTCTAACCCACCTAACCTAAACATCCCTGGACACTACAGGGCAATTTAGCATGGCCAATCCACCTAGCCTGCACATCTTTGAACTGTGGGAGGAAACCCACGCAAACCCAGGGATTTCTTCACGATCATGGCTGATCGTCCAACTCAGCAGCCTAATCCTGTTTTCTCCCCATAACCTTTGACCCCATTCGCTCCAAGTGCTATATCTGTTCGCCTCTTGAATACATTCAGTGTTTTGGCATCGACTACTTCCTGTGGTAATGAAATCCACAGACTCACCACTCTTTGGGTGAAGAAATGTCTCCTCATCTCCCTCCTAAATCATCTACCCTGAATCCTCAAACTGTGACCCCTGGTTCTGGACACATCCACCATCAGGAACATCCTCCCAGCATCTACCCTGTCCAGTCCTGTTAGAATTTTATGAGTCTGTATGAGATTCCCTCCTCATTCATTTGAACTCCAGCAAAAACAATCCCAATCTAATCAGTCTCTTCTCATACGTCAGAGCTGCCGTCCCTGGAATCAGCCTGGTAAACCTTCGCAGCACTCCCTCGAGAGGAAGAGCATCCTTCCTCAGAAAGGGAGACCAAAACCACACACAATATCCTCGGTATGGCCTCACCAAGACCCTGTGTAACTGCAACAACACATTGTGGTATTTAAGAGAGCATTGCATGATTATTTGGATAAAATAATATGTAAAGGTGTGGGGGAAAAGCAGTAGATGGCACTTCATTTAATAAGCCAGTGCAGGCCTCATTTTGGACCATAACATTTCTGTGATTCAGCATGGTGGAGAAAATTGACAAGCAAGCCAATGAGGTTAAAACAAAGGGGATTTTCAAACTAATGATGGTTTCTGTAATGGGGAAACTGAGTGAATCGCTGTTGGATTAGTTAGCTCAGTTGGCTGGATAACTGATTTGTGATGCAGAGTGATATCATTAGTGTGGGTTCAGTTTCTGTAATGGCTGAGGTTACCATGAATGTTCCACCTTCTCAACCTTGCCCCTTGCCTGAGGCATGGTGACCCTCAGGTTAATCATAATCCATCATCACTTTCTATTGAGAGAGCATCCATATGGTCCTCTGGGACTATGGAGTCTTTACCTTTGCAACAGGGTTGCTGTCTGAAGGGGTGATGAATGTGGCAGATTCAGTAGTAACTTTCAGAAGTTAACTAAGTATTTGAAAAGAAAACAAAACTGTCAAGGCCATGTGGGAATAATTGTCTATCTCTTTCAAGTGAAAACCAGCACAGGCACTGAGGGCTGTATTAGTTCTTGCTGTGCTTGTCAACTGTGTGATATCTGTTCAACCATACAAACCTTGTCCCAATGCTTATTGGGATCCCTGTATTCACACTTGCCACTTACCTCTTAACCCAGGGGCGCTGTTCACCAGCTGGCCATGGGGGAATAAAATTGTGATCAGCTGATTTGGTACAGACTGGCATTGGAGCTAGAAGGGTCTGGTCAGCCACTTGAAAATGGTTGTGGGGAGGTAACTGCTAAAATTCCATGTTTTTTTTTTCTTATTTTACAGTTTAACCAAAATCACAGGAGCAGCAACGTTACAATGACTCTTCGTGAGTAAACCTGTTTCCTTGCTTTTTAATACAATGACATTTTAATTGTATGCTGTTCTGTTTAATGACTTTGGCTATTTTCTAAAGTTTGGATTCAGAAGTAGAATGTTGGAAGAATAACTAATTAACCTAAAAAAGACAAATATTTGAAAATAATGACGCTTTTCAATATTGTTGACCTTACTTAAGATCTGAAGAAGTGAAATAGTTTCCAGCCTTGTTTAACTGTTTGTTTGTTTTAAGTGGTGATATTGATTAAAATGAGGAGTACTTTGAAATCAAGATGTAGGGAAGCTCAATGCTTGTAGGGCTAAAGATCCAGGTAACCACCTAGTTTATACAGTCATATGGCATGGAAACAGACCCTTTGGTCCAACTAGACGACGCTGACCAAACTAAATTAGTCCCACTTACCTGTGTTTGGCCCATATCCCTCTAAACCTTTCCTATTCATGTACTTATTCAAATGTCTTTTAAATGTTGTAACTGTACACTTGCCTGGATGAGTGCAGCTCCAACAACAATCAAGAAGCCAGACACCATCCAGGACAAAGTACTAATGGGCACCCCATCCACGATCTCAAACATGCAGTTCCTCCACCTAGATGACACAGAAACAACGGCGTGTACCACCTACAAGGTGGACTGCAGCAATTTCACAAGGCTGCATCAACAACATCTTCCAAACCAGTGACCTCTGCAACTGAAACAGACAAGGCCAGCTGTTGTTTGGGAGCACCTAGTTCTCCTTCTGTTCCCACATCACCCTGACTTGGAGCTGTAATGATTGTTCCCTCACTATGGTTGGGTTAACATCCTCAAAATTCCTTCCTAACATCACTGTGTGGTTAGATCAACATCCCTTTGGATATCCTATGGACATCTATGTGGATATCCTTACAGCAAAGCCTGCAGTGGTTCAAGAAGACACTATCACCCTCTTAACGAACCAAATGCCCACACCCTAACAATGAACATACAAGAAAGTGATCAGTGTGCTATCAGCTCCTTTTGCTGCTACGTCTGGACTTGTTCCATCTATTGCAATCCAATTGGTTAGAAACATTTTGATGCAGTGACAATCAAATGACCTGTTTTGGTGGGTTCTAAAGATTCCATGTCACTATCTGAAGACACGCAAGTCATTTTGACCACAGCTCCTTTCTCATCCAATTCTACCAAAAACAAATGAATTGTTCTGAAGAAAGGTCACTGGACCTGAAATGTTAACTCTGTTTTTTTCTCCACAGATGCTGCCAGACCTGCTGAGATTTTCCAGAAATTTTTGATTCTGTTTGTGAACAGGTCATTTATTTATTGTATTAGTAGGGTCTTTGTGTTCAATATGGCCACCACATAAATGCACAACCATTGCTGCACATTGGTGTCATATGTGAAAAACCTTCTGAATATTTCTGAGTGATATGATTTTAAAAACAGAAAGACTTGCATTTATAAATTCGTTTTCACAACATTAGGATACCCCAAAGTGTTTTCCTGCGAGTGTAGTCACTGTTGGAATTTAGAAAAAAACTGCAGTCAGTTTGCAAACAGCAAAGAGATATTGACTGTCTACTTTAATGATATTTATGGGATGAATATTGGGAAGGACACTGAGAACTCTTCAAAATTGTGCAATACATTTGTTTACAACCTTCAGTCTACCCCTGAGAGGGAAAATGGGATCTTGGTTCAATGTCTCATCTGAAAGATAGCATCTATGACTGTTACAGCACTCCCTCAGCACTGCATTGCAGTGTCTGCCCCAATTCTCTGGAATGGGGTTTGGAACCACAACCTTTTCACTCAATGGTGAGAGTACTGCCAACTCAGCCATAGCTGACACTGCACAATACTGATAAGGGATTGTTCAATTTCTTATTTATCTGTTGTTTCTTCCCTCCTGTACAGCTGGACGAGGCAAACGGAAACATCTTAATCCATCTGACTGTTGGTTCCTGAGCAATAGTCGTGAGGGTGCTTTCTCTTTGACCCGACTGTTCATCTACGCAGGTACCAGCAGAGATTTGAACAGGGGCCTCCATCCCACGGACAGAAAAAGGAGGAGATCTGCAACACGGCTGTGTCCTCACCAAAGATGGTGGATACATGATGCTGACAGTCTGTCAGAAGATGCAGCCAGTGGTGAAGCCATCATTGGCCCATCCTCCTCCAAGATTGATTCTGTTTTTGATCCTGAAGATTTTAACTTGCCTGTTGAAAGAAACATGCTGATACTGGATTCCAAGGACAATGGGGAGGGCTGTGTCCTGTTGTCTGGAAGCCCAAGTGAGACCAGTGATGTGGTTTGTGCGAAGAGACCCAGCTTAGAGGATGCACCCGTGTCCCAGGAATGGAATTGGGCAGAAGGTGATGAACTGGAGGTGGATCCTCTCCCTGACTCATACTTTGGGTTACTGGGATGCACCTGCTCCCATGCTCTCCCCGCTGGCCATATCAGCCAGCTGCCAGATGAAATCCTCAGGATTGTGTTCTTTTATCTGCCAGCTGTGGACCTGTATCGCCTCCGCTCAGTCAGTCAGCAATGGCACCATGTTATCAGTGATCCAGTGGTAAGCCTTGGCATCTTCCGTTAGATCATAATACTCTTCTATTTTTGTAAAAAAAATTGCATGTCCAGTTTTCTGCCCCACCCTATCCAACAGCCATTGATTCCAGAGATGGTTGCAACACTAGCTACTGATTATTATTTCTTTAAGTCCAAATACTTTACTTGGGAACTGAGATAGAAGCATTTGGGAAGCTATTTAATTAGGTAGAGGGTGTCAGTTGCACTCGGTTGTGTTCTCATGTGATGCCTACCTGCAAGTATTTGCTGTGAGGGTGACTGGATCTTTAGCTGATTGTCTGTCCCCATTCACACTTCCTCCGGTACAGTCAGTGCTGAGGCAAATTGTAACACTCTCAGCCTGGAGGTGGCTTTAACCTCTGACCTTTTGGTTTGCCTGCAGTTCAAGGGAAACAAAGCAACCTATCACCAATCATTCTCCTGAAAATCTGAGTACACCAACACGGCCATTTAAATTGTATCCAGTTGGGTGAAACTGTAAATGATCTGGCTTTGACTCACCAACAATGGACATCTCTGAGAATTTAAGGGGAGTGAACTAATTTAAACTTAAACATAATTGGCTCCTTGCATTTCTTATCTATTTTTTACTGTGGGTAAAGTGGTTTCTGCAACAGTTAAATACCACCTTAAACCTGTTTTATAACAGTGGGAGATTTGGGACAAGGAGAGCAGATGCTGAATGGGAAGGTAGGATAGTTTGTGTGATTCCCTCCACATCAGGTTCCTGGTCTCAGTTACAGTGGCTCAGAGCAGAAGTACAGTTCCTGTAGGGCTTGACAGGGTTAAAATTGCAAAGTGCTTTTTTATTTACAATGGACTCCCTTTTCTAAACTTGCTTTTCCCAGTTTGTGCCATACAGGAAGTTGTACTATCGATACAGGAAGGGAGAAGCAAGTGCTGTGAAAGAGATTGACTGGATCCTGAAGGAAAATCATATTAAAAAGGAAGATGAACTCTGCATGTTGAATCTCATAAAGTAAGTGTTCAATGCCGGAATGCTGCTGGTATCTGAGCTACAGCTGTACGGCTATTAAAACAGAAAAATTAGACATTTAACCAAATTGAAAGGAAATACTTACCAGGAAAATTTGAGCAGGCCGGGGCTTTTATTTTCAGAAAAAAGCTAACTAATGGATTGGTCTAGTTGAGATTGTTAAAATCACAAAATGATTTGTTAGAGAAGATGTTTCCAGTGTGATGGGGAGCAAAACAAGTGTAACTGATAATTTATTAGGGAATTTTGGGAAATTGCTTCGCCAGGGAGTTGCTGAGGAAAATAGCATGGATGCATTTAAGGTAAAAACTCCGATGGAGGGGTGGGAAGCTGTAGTTAATATAAGAAACTAATAGGTGAGGCAGTGATGTTGTGGTAATGTCACTGGTCTAGTGAGCCAGAAAACCAGGCTAATGCTCTGGGGATAAGGGGTTAAATCCCACCATAGCAGATGGCTGAAATTTAATTCAATAAAGAAAAATTTGGAGTTAAAAGTTAGTCTGATGTTAACCATGTAATCACTGTTGACCGCTGTCAAAAACCATCTAATTACTAATTGCCTTTTCCGGAAGGACTTACCTAGTCTACATGTGACTCCAGACCAACAACAATGTAGTTAACTCCTAACCCTCTAAGCTCCGTGGGTGAAACCACTCTGAAGGCCCATTCATTGTGATTGGCATGCCGAAGCTTGGCGTAGCATTGACCCCCACTTTCAGAGGTCGTGGCCATGCATCGTGGAGGTCTGCACAGAAGAAAAGAAAATGAGTGGTACGCTGCTCCTCACTGCCCTCTGAAATGGGCCTAACAAGCCGCCTCGCAGCAGTTAGGGATGGGCAATAAATATTGATCCAGCCAGCAATGACCATGTCCCATGGCCGCACGGTGGCTCAGTGGTTAGCATCACTGCTTCACAGCTCCAGGGACCCGGGTTCGATTCCAACCCCTGGTGACTGTGTGTGAAGTTTGCACATTCTCCCTGTGTCTGTGTGGTTTCCTCTAGGTGCATCAGTTTCCTCTCCAATTTAAAGATGTGCAGGTTAGATGGATTGGCCATACTAAATTGCTGGTAGTGTCCAGGGATGTGCAGAATAGGTGGATTAGCCATGGGAAATGCAGGGTTATGGGGTGGGATGCTTTTCAGAGAATCAGTGCAGACTCCATGGGCTGAATGGCTTCTATCTGCACTATTCCGCGATTTTGTGAATAAAAGCAATGTTGAGAAGAGTTTTGGATTAGTGCAAATATTTCCGTTGATATGAAGCTGACTAAGAGGAAGTGTAATCAAGTCTTTGTTAATGATGAAAGTTTTTGCTAGTGGGGCCAATGAAATAGTCTTTCTTCTGGTTTAGATGAGAGATGAGAGATCTGAGTATTGATGAGAGATTGCTAACTTGAAACTGCCACTCTGGGTAAGGAGAAAGATTAGGGCAAATGTCTGTAATTAGGAAGTTATTTAAGCATCAAATGCTTTGGTGCAGGCAGGGGTTGAAATAAAGACTGTTGCGTTTATGAAATACTTACTTGCCCTTTCTTCCTGAGTGTGTGGCTAGTGTGGCTCTTCTTTTTCTGAAGAAGAGTCTAGGCCCGAAACGTCAGCTTTCCTGCTCCTCTGATGCTGCTTGGCCTGCTGTGTTCATCCAGCTCTACACCTTGTTATCATTGTTTGTGTCATTGTGGCTTTAGAAATATTGTCACCATTTTTCAATTTAGACACGTGGTGATGTTCCACCTTGGTATGTTTGTGAACGCTGAAGCTGTCTTGACTTGCCTCACAGACCATCCTCTGTTTAAACAATCTGAAGCATGTGTGGCCCAGACACTACCTCATTTGGTCACTGGAGCAAAGGTATGTCTCTTGAGCACTTTCCTCCTTTTACCTCGTTTTGTTCAGTGTTGATTTTTCTTGATTAAATTCCGATGCTGTTCTGAATCAAAAACTCCTAGTACACAAATTTCTCACTGACCATCATGAATGACAATTTGTGTTTCTGCAGCACCTTTCTAATTTAATAAAACATTCCAGTGCTTTTCAGAAAACTGATTTCAAACAACATTTGATGCTGAATCATATAAGGAACTTTTGGGAAAGGTGACCAAAAACTTGGTCAAGTAATAGGTTTGAAGAACTGTCTTAGAAGAGTAGGGGATGGGGAAGAGGTTTGCAGTGGAAATTCTAGAACTTGGGCCAAGGCAATTGAATAAATGAATGATTTTATTGTCACGTATATTTCGAAGATACAGTGAAGAGTTTTGTCGCCACAATCTAATGCCGTTTTGAGTTACAAAAAGAAAAAAAGAAATTACTCAGAGTTCATCTTCTGTCTATATTGGGTCTCAAGCACAGCTCTAGGGCTTCTGCAAGGTGTTCTGGCCCCCAAGGAATCCCACTTCAGGAACAGCAGCAACGATGCCTGAAATAACTCCACAGAGGCTGGGATCCTGTCACCAAGTCACTCCTTATTTTCGTGAGCAAAGTACTTGACACTCAGAGTGAACAGGATGTCTGACACTTCTGCTTCTATCTGTCAGCCAGGGCTCCCGGATTGGACCAGGTTAACAGCCCCAATCAGGCAACTCCATATTCTATGAAGTCCACCTGGCTGACATTGTTACAATCATGACAACGCCAATGCTCCAGAAGACCCTGGCTCTGCTGCTGTCTGACACTGTCAAAAGCCCAGGCTCCTGGCCTACTGTCCCTTAGAAATCCCCATTCCGGTCACCCCTGCTGCCAAAAATCCAGGGTCTGGACACCGCTGGCAGTCCTGATCCACACTGTCGATACTACAGCCACCGGCCAGCTGACTGCACCAGCCTCAAAGATGAAGAAAGAAAAGAAAAAGAAGAATGCGTAGAGAAAAAAAGATGCCGCTGGCCTGGAGTGGATGGGCTCAGGTAAGCCTGAACACTACTTCCTGTAGCTGGCGCCACCATCTTGGGGGGAAAACAAATGGCCCAGCTACCAATTGCAAAAGATGAAAGCCGTGAAGAGATTTGTTGGACCAAGAAAAAATACAATTGTAGGGGGAATGTGTCTGTCAAAAAAAAGTCTGTGAAATTGAAAAAAATCTGAGTGGCAGTTGAGAATGGTGTCCGAACCTATCACCGTTAACTGGAAACATGTCCTCCTGAGCTGGAATGATCCTCATTTCCTTTAGAAATTTTTAAATTCTTTGCGGATGAGCAACGGCGAATTCACGTCCAACATTGCAAATGTCTGTTCCAACGGGGAGTGTAAGTTGGAAAATACGTTTTTCCTGGTATCTAAGCCAGAATGGCTAGTACTCAGAATTCACTGCCTGAGAGTGTGCTGGGGACACAGTCAATCATGGCTTCCAAAATGAAATTGGATAAGCCCCTGAAGAGACAAATTATAAAGTGTGGGGAAGAGACAAGTTATTGGGACTAGATGAATTGGACTTATGAAGAATGGCTCTGACACAGTGGGCTGAACCATCTCATTTTGTGCTGTAACCATTTGTGATTCTGGTCCAACATGAGTCATTTGCCTGCCTGCATTCCTCTCTGTCAAAATAACCTATCTAAATTGGGTTTTTATCTCCGTTCTGATGAAGGGTCACTGGACTTGAGACGTTAACTCTGTTTTTTGTCTTTGCTTTGTTTTGTGCGTAGTACAGGCAGCTCACATCATACAAAGTGCATCAGGGTAATAGAAGAGAATGAGGAATACAGTGTTACAGCAAGGATGTGGAGGCTTTGGAGAGGATGCAGAAGAGGTTTACCAGGATGCTGCCTTGATTAGAGGGTATGAGCTATAAAGAGAGGCTAGAAAAACATGGGTTGTTTTCTGTGGAGTGGCAGAGGCTGACGGGAGACTTAATAGAAGTCAATAAAATTATGAGATGCTTAGATAGGGTTGACGGTCAGAATCTTTTTTCCCGGAGCCAAGGCATGCATTTAAGGTGAGGGGGGAAAGTTCAAAGGAGATGTGAGGGGCAAGTTTTTTACACAGAGAATGGTAGGACTATGGAATGTGCTGTCAGGGCTTGTAGTGGAGGCAGATATGATATAGAGGTTTTCAAGGGGCTTTTGGATAAGCCTATGAATATGCAAGGGTAGGGGAATATGGACCAAGGGGAGGCAGAAGGGATTAGCTTAATTTGGTGTGATGTTTGGCACAACATCTGAAGGGTCTGTTCCTGTGCTGTTCTATGTTCTATGTTAATTGAGGTTTAAAAGAGCAGAACAATGATAAGATATCTAAGAATAAGATCTGCTGTAGAGAGCTCGCAAAGAGTTGCCATGCATCAGTGCCATCTTGAATCCAAAAAAAACTGGGGGAAAGGGAACCGGAGGATAACTGGGGAAGGGGGAATTAACAAAAGAACCCAAACTGTTAAGTGGCACTTTTTTTAAACCCTGAGTTTTTAATAATCTAGAATGGACTGCCTGGAAAGATGCAAGCAGGTTCAATAGTGACTTTTGAAAGGGAATGGATTAATACTCAAAGGGGAAACCTTTGCAGGGCCATGAAGAATGAATAAGACAGTGAAACTAATCAGACACCTTGATCAAAGATCCAACACACACACACACACACACACACACGGCCAGCATCAGTTCTGTATTATCCTTTAATTAATCCCTGATGTCTTACATTTAACAGATACCCATGTAATGATATAAACAATGATTCCCCAGCTATGTGTGTCCTAAACTCCTTGAATTTCTGCATCTTTAAGGTGCTCCTCCTTTAAGATGTACTTTTGGTCACCCATCCTAATATCTACTGAGTGCCCAGTTTTGTGTTGTTAATTGCTTATTTGAAGTACTGCAGTGCACTTACTCAATTGAAAGTGCCAGACATTTCCAAGTTTTTGTTGAAACAAAGGGCAGGTGCCTGGGATGGACAGTATCCCAGCAAAGAATTGACACAGGAGCAAAGAAGAGGGAACAAAACAGATCTCCGAACACCTTTGCTCCCCTACTCCATAAAAGTTAAATATCTCACCATTTTGGAGGCACAATAGTTGCTTACATTATCCACAGTTCCTCCATGAGCCACTGATTGGCATCAAAGACAAGAGGGTTTGTGATTTGACACTGACTCCATAGCTGACCTGGGGATTTATGTCTGCAGAAGCTACAATCCTGGTCAGTTTCTCTGCATCCTTGGAAATTCAAAGGAAATGTCACTGTGTGTATGTCTTTATTTAATTTAGACTGGATATGTGCAGGCGTTGCTGGCTGTGATCATTCTCCTGTCCAATAGTGTGAATGACATCCAAGAGCTGATATCCCGTCTCCAACAACCCTGTTCGACACTGCCTGTAATGGAGGTGACAGAGATCCTGTACTACATGGCGACCTTGCTGTTTGCCTTGAGAGAGAAGGACATTAATATCAGCAACAGGTAGGATATAGCTCTCCTAATACAGAGCCCCTTCCACAACTTCTGATGCATGTGTGGCTCTGGTGGTTGCCTATAGGCTGTGCCAGGGTTCAGTTCAGGTGGACTATTTGATTTAATCTCATAGCTAGGGATGGACAAAAAAGTGCCTGTGTTTTTTTTTAAATTTGCCATGTGCACCTCCTATGCCCATTCCCAAGTGAGATGGAGGATTAGCCATAACATGTTAATTGATGACCAGGCTCTGAGGGCTGAATGGCCTAATCCTGCTCCTAGTTTCTATGTCTATGTTTACTGGGGGTTCCTGTTTTTATTTTCCCCTTCGATGATGGAATCTTACTGTTTTCATTTTGTTTGGCATTTGCTGTATTTTTCTGTAAAATGAACCTTTACCACTAAGTAGGATAAGGGCAGCAGACACTTGGGATCCACTACCATCTGCATGTTACCCTCTAAGCCACGTGCCATCCTTACATGGAAATACATCGCTCTTCCTTTAGTGTTGCTGGGTCAAAATCCTGGAATTCCTTTCATGACAACACCATGGGTGTCTCTATAGTACATGGACTGCAGCATTACAAGAAGGTGGCTAATTACCACTATCCCAAGGGCAATTAAGCTCAGGGAACAAATGTTGGCCTTGTCCATGAGTACTCATAAGTTGGGTTCGGGGGTGTTCATGCCCTGAAATTGTTAAATTTGATGTTGAGCCCCCTTCCTTGTCTATTACCTACCCCCAACTCCCTGGATCCTGCCATAAAATGGATTGTTAAATGGGCGGGAGGTGATGGCCTAGTGGTATTATTGCTGGACTGTTAATCCAGAGACCCAGGTTATGTTCTGGAGATCCCGGGTTCAAATCCCACCACGGCAGACGGTGGAATTTGAATTCAATAAAAATCTGAAATTAAGAGTCTAATGATGACCGTGAACCCATTGCCAATTGTCAGGAAAAACCCATCTGGTTCACTAGTGTCCTTTAGGGAAGGAAACTGCCATCCTTACCTGGTCTGGCCTACATTTGACTCTAGACACACAGCAAGATGGTTGATTCTCTGGCAGTTAGGGATGGGCAATAAATGTTGGCCTAGCCAGTGATGCACTCGTCATATGAATAAATATTTTAAAAGAAAGCAAACCCATTTTGGCCCACTAGTCCCTAATTTCACCTATCTAGCTTCTCTTCTTAGAAAAACTCAGCAGGTCTGGCAGCATCTGTGGGGCGAAAGCAGAATTAACATTTTGGGTTCAGTGACCTTCCTTCAGAACTGATTGTAGGTGGGAATGTTTGGTATATATGCTGAAGATGGGGCAGGGGTTGGGGGAAGTGATGGTGGTGGTGATCGGGGTGGAACGAGTAAATGATAAGTGGAGGTCATAGATTATAGAATCCCTACAGTGTGGAAACAGGCCCTTCAGCCCAACAAGTCCACACTGACCCTCAGAGCATCCCACCCAGACCACCCCTGATAACCCACCTAATCTACACATCCCTGAACACTACTTGGCCAATCTACCTAGCCTGCATATCTTTGGACTGTGGGAGGAAACAGGAGCACCCGGAGGAAACCCACGCAGACAAGGGGAGAATGTGCAGACTCCACACAGACAGTCGCCCGAGGGTGGAATTGAACCCGGGTGCCTGGTGCTGTGAGGCATCAGTGCTAACCACTGAGCCATCGTGTTGCCCTTGATGGAGCCCAGAGAGAGAATAAAACAGTTGGGCAGACAAAGGAGTGGGTAAAGGTCAGCCTGGGGGAATCAGTAGCTGCTAATGGGAACTATTAGTGACTGACAATGGGTTGTAAGTGGCAGTGGCTTATGTGATGACAAGGCGTGGCCTGTGGTGGTTGGGGTAAGGACATGGGAGAAGGTCCTCGGGCCCTAAAATTGTTGAACCTGATATTGAGCCCAGGTGGTTGTAGGATTCCCAAATGAAAAATTTAAGTGATGTTCTTCCAACTTGCCCTAAGATTCACTGGAGCACCGTAGTAAGCCCAAGACCAAGATCCTGGCCAGGGAACATGGTGACGTGTTGAAGTGGCAGGCAAAAAGCTCGGGGTCATTTTTGTGAACAGAACATAGATATTTTGCGAAGTAGTTACCCAGTTTGCAGTACACCTTTTCTTAGCTGCTCCTTGTTCTGAAGAAGTGTCACAGAACTTAAAACATTAAATCTGTTTCTCTCTCCACAGATGCTGCCAGACTTGCTGAGTTTCTCCAGCATTCTCTGTTTATTTGACTGTGTCCACTGTTTGGACGGGAGATGGAGAAAATGTCACTATTTGTGTTTCAGCAGCTAAGTGTATCATATCGTTGGTTTGAGGCAGGCAGTGAAAATAAGAATTGCAGTTCCCAATATGCGATGAAAATGGGTATGTGGTCTGGTTATTTGGCCTTGAGGGGAAGGAACACCATTAATCTTACGAGTCCCCTTCAAAGGTGGACCACCGCTCTCCACTCCACTGCCCACACAACATCCCACCCGCCCCCACCCCCGCCCACAATATGGCAGAGGCTGGAAATCTGACAAAACTACCGAACAGGACAGGCAGCACCTGTGGAAAGCTAAAAACAGCTCAGCAGGGATTATGCAATTGAGGGTGGAGGACAAGAGGAATTCAGCCCTCCCCTTACTGACTCTGCTCTTGCTTACATTTTATAAATCTCCAAATTTTCTCAGGTCCGATGAAGGGTCCTGGACCTGCAACATTAACTCTGCTTCTCTTTCTGAAGCTGTTGCCAGAGCTGCTGAGTGTTTCCAGTATGTTCTACTTTTTAAAAACTCACCTACACGCCATCGACCCCACAATAATTGGCTGACTTTCAAATGCTGTTGTCCTTAAATGCAGTCGTTTCTAGGAGTGAGCAGTATTATGCACTTACCAGTCTCACGCTCCTCCTTGAACAAAAATGTGGAAGTCATGACTTGTTCCAAGACACAGATGTCGAGTTCTTTGTGGACTGTACTAAAGTCCAGTACTAAAGTTGTCAACAGAATGACTGACTTCAGTGTATCAATGTTATACTGCTACAGCAGTTCTGCAGCTGGGTAGGCGAATGTTTTACTGTATTTCTTAATCTGTTGTACTTGCCATGGGAATATTCAATGCTGACATTGGAAGGCTGGAAACTTGAATTAACATTCCCAGCCTTGAAGAGCGTAACAACTTCTCTTCCTCGGAAATAGTTGGTGTAATGTTAAACTTTAACTTTTATAGTAAACAATTTTCCTTTCCCAATAAACCTTCCAGGATTCATTACAATCTGTTCTACGCACTGTATTTAATGGAGAATCCAGCCAACATCAGTAGAAAATCTGTGAAGCGTCTTCTTTCAACTCAGGACTCTGGCAGGTGAACTTTTGAACAATTTTAAATAAATCAAAATATACTCCAGGAAGATGTGTGCAATTTGGAAGTAGCTATTGCCTCTGGAATGGATAAAAGGAATTTAGGAATGTATGACATTGGAACAAGAATAGGCCATTTGGCCAAATGAACGTGCTCCACTTGGTATCTGTCTGTTTGTTGTGGTGATGAGCTGGATTCACATGCAGCTGTGATTGTGTTATTCTGAAGGGCCTCTGTGGTGCAGTGGTTGTGTCCCTGCCTCTGAGCCAGGAGTCCTGGGTTTGAGTCCCACCTGCTCCAGAGCCGTGCTGTAACATCCCCGGACAGGTTGGAAAAAAAACTGCATTGGTAGTATCCTTACCTCAGGAACAAGAGGCCTGAGTTCAAGTCCCACCTGCTCCCTAGGTATGTATTTAAAAAAGTGTGCTATTCTGATTCAGGTTTCTCTTCTATGTGCTAGTCCAGTCAATTCCTGAGTCCACCCTGGTTCCTCGCTTGTGGAAGAACCTTGTCAGTTACCAACCTCTCAAATCCCGCTTCTTGTAAACTTGTGCAAAGGTAGAGTTGAAGGTTGTCACTAAGCTGTTAGTGACTCAGAGTTCCAAACCCATCCTAACTGAAGAAAGGTACTGGAGCTAGAATTTTTCTCCTGCTGTTGATGTACATTGATCCTTCCTCACCAGAATCTATCTCTATCTCACTCTCTATCACTTTCTGCACCCTCCCCTCACAACCCCACCTCTCTCTCAACCCTCCCTCTCCCCCTTCTTCCCCATACTCTCTCCCCTCTGTCTCTCTCTCTCTCTCTCTCTCTCTCCCCCTCTCTATCTCGCCCTTCCCCCCTCTCTGCCCCTCTCCCCCCTCTCTCTCTCTCCGTCTCCCCCCTCCCTCTCTCTCTGTCTCCTCCCTCCCTCTCTCTCTCTCCTTCCTCTCTCTGTCCCCCCCCTCTCTCTCCACCCCTCTTTCTATCTCTTTCTCCCCACTCCCCACCTCTCTCTCTTAACGCCCACCCCTCTTTCCCCCCTCCTCCCCCCCCCCCCCCCCCCCCCCTCTCACCCCTTCCTCTCTCTCTCACCCACCCTCTCTCTCCCGTCCTCACTCTCCCCCTCACCCATCCTCTCTCTCCCGTCCTCACTGTCCCCCCTCCTCACTCTCTCTCCCCCCTCCTCACTCTCTCTCCCCCCTCCTCACTCTCTCTCCCCCTTTCCCTCTCTCTCCCCCTCCCCCCTTCTCTCTCTCTCCCTCTGTCTTTCTCTCCCCCCGCCTCTCTCCCTCTACCTCTCTTTCTCTCTCCCCCCC